GAGTGTAGATATGTTCCTTAGGGGCGCTGGCAGTGTATAATCATTATAGTTATTATCAATTGAATAAATGTAAGAATAGCAATTGTTGCATAGGTTTTAATATTTTAACGTTGTAAAACATGTCGTTGTGCTTTTTCATATTGAAAATTGAGTTTCAACTAAAATACTTACATAGCAGTAGAGACGAACAGAGCCCGAATCTTGAAGTAAAGTTTTTTCATAGCTCAATGTAATGCTATAAAATAAAAAAAAAACACGTATTGGATAACTTCTTTCGTGTATTGAACTTCTCATATATGTCTTTTATGTCATTTTAATCACGTCCACTATTCAAGCTGCACGTAAATTTTACATGTGTCATTTATAACAAAATCACCCAATTGAAGTACATTTTGTTCAAATAAAACGTGCCTGTCATATAGCCCTCTCTATTCAAGATTAAGAGTCAGAGTCATTTAAGGACGTTTCAGGTTTGGTTGGTGGAGGAAAGCCGGAGTTCACGAAGAAAAGCAACCGACCTGCGGTCAGTACTTGGCGACACCCTACATACTCCTTGAAACCGCGACCCAGCGGTGGAGAATTAGTGATAATGACAGTAATCTTAATATATATACAGTTATAGATGATATAGAGTGTAGCAGGTTATAAGATGATTATACAAAAACACAGGAGCAATGCAATTCAATACTAACTTCTTCCTTAAGGGAAGACTTTAACAGAATAATTAATGGTACACGACCTTGCGTGGAGGGTATATGTAATATCATTGTATATCGGCGGTAACAGGCTTGTACTTAATCTAAGATAAATGCTATACAATAGATTGTAATGGATGTATACATGAAGGTACTTGTATGTTAGCATATTTGTATGTACCGTGGAAGCAGCGGTGTAAATGCTGAGTGTGGAGAGTGAGAGTCCACCTACATGAGGACAAATTTGTATTTCTATATAATGTCTTTCTCAATAAAACGTTTGCTAAAAATATAATTAGACACAGCAGCGCCAGAGAATGTTGGTCTTAGATAGGTGATGTTCAGGAGGGTACAGAAGAAAATCAACATTATTCGAAATAAATGCCAAACGTCAGGTTGGTAGGTACACTTAATCTTAAATAAAACAAAATTTCTTTTTTCTGTGAGTTATTGAATAAAATATAAGGCACATGTGTAACTTCCGAACCAAAGATCCAAAAGAAAAAAAAAATCGGAATTGTATTAATTTATAATGAAAATCAATGAAATACCAACTTATCAACGAGTTGTCGATCAAGTGCTACTGCCGAACCAGTTAACACAAGAAAATGACAAGATGGACAACTCTGATGCCACGACAACAAGCCAGTATATCATATCGTTCCTATATTACTTACCATACGAAAACTGAAACACGTACCACAAAGAAAGGCAATATCCAGAAAGAAAAGCAATATCGCACTTGTTTATCAGAAATCCATGTCTGGAATTTTCTGGGCAAATATTTATAAATGGGACCAATTTACTCTTCTTACGCGAAGCTGCTAACATGCATTCAACAAGTAAACTACCGGTGTATTGTTGGAAAATAGCCTCGGGGTCATATTATGGCCACCTTGATATTACAACATTGGTAATGGACACGTTTACACTTATATCTGATAAATATATCTGTGAAAGGGACATTTAATAGCAAGTTCTCAAATAAGAATCGAAGTGATATTCCTATATTCAAAATTAAAATTTTAAACTAGTTTTCACGCCGCATATTGTTTAAAGCCTACAATCATTCTGGTTATACATGAGAGATCGAAATAATTTTTCACTTTTAATTTCAAAAAGTAATATGATTTTAAAGACAATGATTTTGAAGCATATTGAGGAATTAATATGCGATGTGATGAAAAAGTACATGTTGAAAAAAGTGTAACTATTGTAAATTGTTGTTTCATGTGATGAATTGGACTAAATGTCCTTCATCTGCGATATAGACATAAAAAGAGCCAAACCATGTTTGCAATATTGAAGGATATCCTACGTATTGTAATATAAACAACTTATTCCAGGCATTTTGGGGAGTTCTTGGTTTGTATAAGAACTAAATAAACGTGATCGACTTGTTTTCCTATATTGATCAGGATTATACAAAAGACGTGCGTGTGGGATAACAACATGATTAGTTTACAATCAGATAGAACAGGGTCAAATAATGAATTACGTTGCATCATACAGCTGTTTTACTAGGTCACTTTGGTTTTAAAATTGTCATTTGATACAGGTTTTAGAATGAAACACGTTATGGCATTATGTAACTAGACAGCTTTCTCAATATGACGAGATATAACAATTGCTTTAGGTAACAACTTTAGCTATCTGTACAAAATAACACACAGTATCTAAGATATGTTTTCTTATAATCGGTATTTCGATATGGCTCACTGAGATTACCTTTCCAAATCTCTTCAAAATAGAATATTCCTTTTTCCATTTTACCGATGGTCACATTTATATTGAATCTAGCAGTAGGAAGCAGTACCTCTTTGTTAAAATCATCTGTCTTTGACTACCAATGTTTGTTAGAGTTGCCTTCCTTTGAACTAGCAAATATGGGGAGAGGTAATACATATGATAGTGCATTCAAACATAATTTATATTCATTCTACTACGTAGAAAGTAATACTGATTAGGTAAAGAAGTGAGAAAAAATTTCTTTGAGTTTGGGATTATTTTTCAGGTCTGAAGGTCAAAGGTTAAGGTCACTGTAACTATGAATAGAAAATTAGTGTTTTCACTTCCCTTTTGGCCGACCAACATCAATCTTCATACAGTGCTTCTTTACCAGGGATTGTTTTTCAAGTCAAAAAGTCAAAGGTCACGGTCATGGTAGCTGTCAAAAGAAAACTGGTTGTTTGGACAATTAGACTCAAACTTCATTTCTTAATTCTTAAGCAAACGGGCTTGTATGAGATTGCTTTTCAGGTGTGTTGTCCCTGTTCCTGTCGTATTTGGAGCAAAACGAATTATATAAATGGAATAAATACAATGAATATCTAAGGCTATTTTTCCATAAAACTCATCTCAAGGAACCTTGCTAGGCAGGCGAAACATTCAATTCCATGGAATTCTTGTTTTTCCCTAATACTACTCCTATACCGGGACAGTAGATGATACTAAATATGTGCAACAATGACGCATTTATCCAAGACTTAATTCGTTAATTAGGTGGAGAGATATTGTAACAATTGTTTTAGTATGTTTCCGAACTGTTTGAATTGCTTTTTGCAAACTAATGGTAAAATTGCTTTACTTCCGGTCAATTTCCAAAGTCCATAAAACGTTTTACTGCATGTGTGTATAAGTATAGCTGTTATGCTCTCTTTTCATACGACAAATGTCTTCCGCAGGAAGTCATTGATGTATTATGATTACCTTTCTTGGTATGTTTAATGCCTCGTGCTGTTTTATAATTGTTTGTTTTTTACTGTCTTTATTACACCAACTGTGTTTTCAGAATATAAACAGATTTACATATCTTTCGCTGATACACATTTAATTACTCGCTGTCTATCCTTCTCTAGTGTCACACATGGCTCTACTTGGATCATATAGCCCCATTTCCTTTGCTCATTATTTAACTTATAATGGATAAGGTGATTGGGTCATCTGGTGTCTTATTTTATCTTATCATCAACCTTGTCCAAGGTTTGAATCCACTGTGTATCCTTGTTTACCAGGCAAAGAATTGTGTATGTATGGACATTAAGTGTCCGTGTCCGTCTTCATCCTTACGTACAGCTAGACTTAACCTTGGGATAGCTGCATTATTGGCTTTTATTATCTGTATAACTGATGGCACTGTTTCTTTTTTCATGTTTTTTGGTCAGTTTCGTGATTCATACAGTAAGATTATCACAAAAATTTGGATACATTCTACTAATCTGAATGATGGAGGAATGATGTTGATAAAGATGGACTATCTACTATGACAATGAATTGTTCCTAGCAACCGTCTGGCCACTTCATTTGACAACCCTTCGATTAAAATAGCAATCGACATTACTATAGAACATATAGGGATATATCTCATTTTAAAAAATGGTATATGTAACGTTTCACTTTGTTGAAATATTTGATAAAGAAGGAAACTGCTACCGAACACTGTTCTTCAATGCTTCATTCATATTTAGTATCAGGAAATATTTGTAATTTCACGGCTACAATATCTTGGGTCCTTTAAATGTGAGAAACCAGTAGGGTAAGAATGTTAAGATTGAATAAAATACCGTCACAATTCCGAAATGTCAATGGACAAACAGACTGCTCTTTTCTGCTGATAAAATTGATAGTCTGTTCCATACTAAATTACAAAATAAAGATTGAATATAGATATGAAAATATTAAATAAGGCAACATTTAACAAGCCAGACAAAATGATGCCAGAAATAAATCTTCAGGTCTTTTCAAATGAAAATTTCTTTATTCATAACTTTAAGATTGAAGAGATGTAAATTATTAGGAATGACATCAATTGAAACACGTGCTTTGTTTGTTGAGAATACTTTGTATATATGTAGATCGTGCATCTGCTTTTTTCTCCATGCAAGCGAAACAGGTGATAAGTGTAACTTATTACAAGTGAAATATCCTCTTTATCTCACAACCGCGTGATGCAGTTCATTTCGATACATCTGTGTCTGTAATAAAATAAGTGTTTCCATCATAACTGACATCGATCGTTAAAACTCACTTTCTTTTTAGAAATTCTATCGGATGGAGATTGTCTCAAAATTCTCTGGGTTTTTTTTTATTTGAGGTACTGTATCACTCGTCAAATCTACATCGAAAACCTTTGAAAAGGTCACGCCACTTGCAACGAAAACTATATGAGTACAGATTACGGAAACACATCCAAACAAGTTTTGTATGTGATATAAGAAGTATTAAGTGTACGATAAATAAAAGAGAAACAAAAATTCGAGACAAATTTGTCTTTAAAACAAAGGTTAGTTAGCATAAATGTTAAAATCATTTAGACAGGTATGAATCGCAAATATAAGAAAGCATTTCATTGGCTAAATCTTTGGTAGCATAACCAATGGGATGCACATTAACGTTTGCCATTCCGGCTGTTCGATCCCAATGACCGACGTAAAAGACTTTATCATGAATTCCATTGAATTCTTGGAACCAAATTTCTTCATGGCATCGCCGGAGGTAGTCTATCGGTTCCAGAACATCTTTATATGTAAATGAATGAGGGCCCTGAATGATAATTTGTGAGTCTGGAGCTCTTGCGAGCAGACGATCAACACCAGCACGTGCGTCCTTGACCAGGGCGCGAAACACAGACAATGTCGTCCTGGTGAGATGATAGTACAGATGTATGATGACTATTATTGGTTTATCATGAGGTGTCCTGTCCAGCCAGTTTCCAACTGACCGCATTGTGTCCAAACTCTGGTGTCTACCTACATAAAATGGCGGGTTATGAGGAGCCCACATTAAGTCTAGATTCAGCTTAGAGTTTTTCGCCATCAACAATTTATGCCATGGCTTGTCTTTGGTGTAGTGGTTTGTAAGATCTACGGCATTTGTTCGTTCACACATCACCTGATAAATTCCTCGACTATTAGAATCTCCCAATATTACAACTCGTTTGTCTTTCAAGCAAATATCAAAGTTCATTTTCTCATGTAAACATTTTAAATTTATCCATATTTTATTATAATAATATCCTGTAGGAACGCTATCATGCCAAGTGGCACCCGGGGCACGAACCTTGCATTCTAATTGAGGGGAGAACATAAGCTCACGACCATCCTCACCTACAAAAGAACAAATATTGTTTCTTAACAATATCTCGTCATTTCAAAATTCTAAACAAATCTCAAATTAACATGCATAATTTCAATACTTGTGGAAGCCAAACTCCAGCGTTATTGTTACCTACCTTCCAAGACTTCTAATTTCGTGGAACCAATTTTCATATGTTTTTGGTTTCTGGAACACAATGAAAAGTAAATTATCTATTGGAATATTGTTAAGCTCAGCAGAAATAACAAAAAAGTAAATAAGTCAAAATATTTAACGTAATCGGTAAATATTTAAAATAATACCAATATCATGTATAAATTAATTCATAATTTAATATCTTAAGAATACTTTGGCTATCGAGTACAGTATCTTCTCCCCTACCCCAGTTGATATATCTGTAAATATTTAAACATTGTAACCGAAGGAAGACAATTTTGACTTGGTCTTTATCTTGGCCTCGAACTCGATCTGTGGCACCAAATCGCCAAGCCAAGAAATTCTACAACTGCCTTATCATTACACAACCACAACATCCTCAAAAAGGATGTTTGGAAGTTGTACTGTTAGACAGCAGAAAATTCTCGACGTGGCCATAGTGTCATATTGTCTAATACTCGATATAAACACCTGGATCGCAATGCACATAAAATGGATACGAATAGTACAAGGAACACTTATCACACTCGGATACACTCGGGTACACTTACGACAGGTAATTCAAATCTGGAATCTTTATTTAGATATATCAGTGTATATTCATATACTACAAAGTACTTACACTAGTAGGTTTACTTGTTCATACCTTGTTTACAATGAACTAACCTGTACTAGGTTTACCCGTGTATATTTATGAAGATACCTGTGCTATCTTTACTTGTTCTTGTATACCTATGTAGTTACACTGTACTGATCTTTATTTAGCTTTTCCACCAATACACATACAATGTAGTTACCTATACTAGGTTTACTTGTTCTTGTATACCTATGTAGTAACACTGTATTGACCTTTATTACACTTACCTACCAATATAAACACAATTTAGTTACCTGTACTAGGTTTTTACTTGTTCTTGTACACCTATGTAGTAACACTGTATTAACCTTTATTACACTTACCTACCAATATAAATACAATGTAGATACCTGTACTAGGTTTTTACTTGTTCTTGTATACCTATGTAGTTACACTGTACTGAACTTTATAACGCTTACCCACCAATCCTTATACACGTGCAATATACTTACCTGTACTAGGTTTACTTCTTCATAATTGATGTTATTACAACGTATTTATTTTTCTTGGTAGACTATGTAATTACAATATCATTATCCTGATTGAGTTATGTCTTTATGTAATTTTTATATAAACTCTATATCCAAATCCAAATTCAGCAAAACTAGCGCAAAAAGAAAGACTTACATGAAGTATAGGGAGAATAAGAATAGTAAAGACACCTGCCACGTAAATATTGGTCAGTTCAATTAAAAATGGCAGGTTCTAAGATGAACTTATTGTTATTTAAAGACAAGATGTTATAATATATATGAATGTTAAACGACTTTGCAGGGTCTTTTAAGAAAAAATATTTCCAAATTTCCCTTTTTCAACTGGGTAGAATCAACTTCTTGAATTTAAGAATTAATTGCACAACCCTAATAATGATTTTTTAATGAATTCCATTGAAGCATTAGGGAATCAAGGTCCCTTGGGGCTGAATCAACTTTCTTAATTGAAGAAATAATTCTTCACTTAAATGAGGTTTCAAGCCAACTTTGGTAGAGGACCGACAGGGCGTGACGCACAAGTAGTGTCTTAGAGGAAATGTTTACGGTCGGCGACGGCGCACGACGACGGACGAAGCATATTAGCAATTGGTCATCTTGACCCTTCAGATGTCCTAAAAATATAATCAAGAAAAGTAAAGTAGCTGCAAAGAAAATTAAATATTAACTTACTTAAACACGTTTATCGCAAATTCACCAATTTTGCTGTTTCTAGAACTGTCTTGTGTTTTAATGTCATCACATGTTAGAAATTCAGATTCCGGTTTACAGCAAAACCATGGCAACCCATAATTATATGAGGTTGAGTTACATCTGTTGACAAAATCACATCCTTGAAGAACGACATCGGGTTTTGGACTGCACATAGATTCTTCCTCATGTTTACCAGTAGAGTCTATAAATTTGGACGCCATCGGATTCAACGTTCCATGTTTCTCCAAGTAACTCAGGAAGAGCGATATGTGATGCCTCGAGTTCGCAATAGATATATAGACCTCTGGATAACCTTTCCAAGGTAACAAAACCTCTCCAGTATAAGTCCCGTTCCCATGGTCTACCACGTGACCATTTACATTTGTATTTTTAATCGATGGATCTTTTAACCATATTCTGAGGTAGTCACCGCCTGTATTCACTGGTTTACCATCCGTATAAAAAAGACGAATTCTCACCCTAAAAGTATCACCAACTCTTAGAGGAATCACAAGTGGCAAAACTGTAACCGTTGTGAGCTCTGGTGATATGAAATGGCTGGCGGTTGTCACGTTCATGTCTAGATAACTATCCAATCGTTCCGTATGAGACTGTGTCGTCATTTGTTGACCCTCTTTAAGGGTGTGCGGTTTGTCTAAATCTAAAATGTTTCCATGAAGACTATAATCATCAGACAGACTATTCGTTTTCAATGATGGAATAACCCATGACCAAATCAGAACCGTTACGCTGAAGCAAAAAAGACAATTTTGTATTTAGAGACATCAAAATTAATAAGAATCTATTAAATTTTACAAATGTTCAACGATTGGTACTAAAACACACATATTCAACGAGAAAATACCGATATGTCCACACCATCGATAATCAATACCATGAGGTCATAATTGTGAACAAAAGAAAGGTTTCGGATGAGATTTTTTCAAAATAACAAGGCAAAGCGTTACGTAAAAGAACTTGATATTACTTGGATTCAGCTAACTTCATTTGGTGGGTGTCGTCGATGAAACAAAAGACGTTTAGTTTTTCAGTAAAACCTGGTCTTATCATTTTACTTTTTCATTGGTTTATATATAATTCGATCTTTTTCCATATTTTGCCTTAGCTTTGTCCACTTTGTGTTTAAATCAAAATTCTGGTTATGTGTCAGTACTCTTTGGTTTTATTGGAATCTCAAGATTAAGTTATTCCTCTCAACCAGATTTAACAATGTCTTAATATCTATACTACTGTGAAAGTGTTTTTTCAACGATTTAAAGGTTTTACAGAAATCCTAAGTGTAAAACCACCTAAAAGGATGGAAACTGACATTTCTTTGTGAATCTTATTTTCAAACATAAAACTCATAAAAGATTGTGAAAAGGACACAGATAAATATCACCTATTAATACTTATATTTAGAGTTACATACAGTAGAGGCAAACAATGAATTGAACTGCATCACACAGCTATTCTGTCCTTCTGGGACTCGTTAGTGATGATTTTGCCCTAAATTTTGAAGACTAGGAGGCGACTGAAGAAAATCGAAAATGAATGAAAAGTTAAAATCTAGATGGAGAAAAAAACATTTCTAGTTTAAAACAATACTAAAGTATTTAATTCCAATTATTGAGAGTGTATATATGATCTTAAGGGGCGCTGGCAGTGTATAATCTTTATAGTTTTTATCAATTGAATAAAAGAAATGTAAGAATAGTATTTGTTGTATAGGTTTTAATATTTTAACGTTGTAAAACATGTCGTTGTGCTTTTTCATATTCAAAATTGAGTTTCAACTAAAATACTTACATAGCAATAGAGACGAACAGAGCCAGAATCTTGAAGTGAAGTATTTTCATAGCTCAATGTGATGCTATAAAAAAAGAACACGTATTGGATAACTTCTTTCGTGTATTGAACTTCTTATGTATGTCTTATATGTCATTTTAATCACGTCCACTATTCAAGCTGCACGTAAATTTTACATGTGTCATTTATAATAAAATCACCCAATAGAGTGTAGCAGGTTATAAGATGATTATACAAAAACGCAGGAGCAATACAATTCAATACTAACTTCTTCCTTAAGGGAAGACTTCAACAGAATAATTAATGGTACACGACCTTGCGTGGAGGGTATATGTAATATCATTGTATATCGTCGGTAACAGGCTTGTACTTAATCTAAGATAAATGCTATACAACAGATTATAATGGATGTATACATGAAGGTACTTGTATGTTAGCATATTTGTATGTGCCGTGGAAGCAGCGGTGTAAATGCTGAGTGTGGAGGGTGAGAGTCCACCTACTTGAGGACAAATTTGTATTTTTATATAATGTCTTTCTCAATAAAACGTTTGCTAAAATATAATTAGACACAGCAGCGCCAGAGAATGGATAAAAGCCACACAACTGATCCGTCATTCGGTTTAGTAAATGTTGGGCTTAGATAGGTGATGTTCAGGAGGGTACAGAAGAAAATCAACATTATTCAAAATAAATGCCAAACGTCAAATTGGTAGGTACACTTAATCTTAAATAAAACAAAATTCCTTTTTTCTGTGAGTTATTGAATCCAATATAAGGCGCATGTGTAATTTCCGAACCAAAGATCCAAAAGAAAAAAAAACGGTATTATATTAATTCATAATGAAAATCAATTAAATACCAACTTATCAACGAGTTGTCGATCAAGTGCTACTGCCGAACCAGTTAACACAAGAAAATGACAAGATGGACAACTCTGATGCCACGACAACAAGCCAGTATATTATATCCTATGTTACCGTACGAAAACTAAAACACTTACCACAAAGAAAGGCAATATCCAGAAAGAAAAGCAATATCGCACTTGTTTATCAGAAATCCAGGTTTGGAATTTTCTTGGCAATTTTTTGTTTCCTATAAATGGGACCAATTTACTCTACTTACGTGAAGCAGCGGACATACATCCAACAAGTAAACGACCGGTGTATTGTTGGAAAATAGCCTCGGGGTCATATTATGGCCACCTTGATATTACAACATTGGTAATGGACACGTTTACACTTATATCTGATAAATATATCTGTGAAAGGGACATCTAATAGCAAGTCCTCAAATAAGAATCGAAGTGATATTCCTAGATTCAAAATTAAAATTTTAAACTAGTTTTCACGCCGCATATTGTTTAAAGCCTACAATCATTCTGGTTATACATGAGAGATCGAAATAATTATTCACTTTTAATTTCAAAAAGTAATATGGATATGGATAACAACATGATTAATTTACAATCAGATAGAACGGGTTCGCTTTGGTTTTAAAATTATCATTTGATACAGGTTTTATAATGAAACCTGGTAATATAATTGTTTATAATGTATATGATAATGAATCCAAGATCATTCCCTTTTTGCTGTTCCATATAACTAGTTTTAAAAATACCAGGCAATCTATGTACTGTTGTAAGTTGGCCAAAATACTGATGTTGTACAAAGGTAATTCCTTGCTTACAACGCGACATTATTGTAGATGACAAGGTTAATGTAAGACCTTCGATGATAGATGACATTGCCTATGGCAACGGCAATCACAACAAAACTATTACTATTGAATTCTATTGTTGTAACATGAAGGTACAATTACCCTCAAACACGAGACGCCTGAAAGCATTCCTTATCAGTAAAACTATTACCTGTAAATAATATTAAAACTTTAAATTTCATAATTTTGAAAGACTTGAAAGACAAATATCGAAGCCACTTTTAGTATTCTAATGTTGCCCGTCTTGTTTATGGGAACAGAATCCAATAATTTTCATATATAACGTTTTGAAAATTTTGAAAAAAACACTGAACACATTGTATGTTAATCACTTCAATATGTAATTGAATATTTGATACATATAGTATTCCATTACACATTGGCAATTTTCTACATTGAAAAAGTGTGACAGCAAGTGTATTATAATAAAGGAGGAGTGCCAATTTGGGCCTTCTGGCGGCCATGACCGATATTTTTTATTTCTTGTGTAGGAATTCCTTGGGGTTAGGCGGTCATGATATGACATAAAATTAAGGTCAGATCTGAGCCATTCATTAGTTATGGGGGGGGTAAAGTGGGGGGTAAAATTCATAAACAGCTCCATTATGACAAACCTACATTATATTTTTGGATTTTTTCTTCTTAATTTTCATGTAATAATCCACATCAAAACATTCATTAGTAAAATTGATTGAAAAAAATATTCCATTGTTGAAAAGTGGGTCATGGTAATTAAGCTCATTAATTGCTAATTATATTAAAGATGAACTTAATTTTCTGCCTTAATGCACATAAAAACAATACCTTTATCATGTGTCATGCTTTAGTAAGATTTATTTTTGAATACTTTATAGAAAATGGAGAATTAATTAATGGGAGGGGGCGGGTTCACACTTTTGACAACTTTTGGTTGATATCAGAGTTATCTTATGTAATTATATTAGATAATAAATATCTAATAAATAAATGTTAAATTGTACTGCATTAAGAACTGTTTAAAATAAATTGCTTGATAAATGTAGAGATATTTAAACCAGTTTGGTACGACTGGTTGAGCTTTAAGCTAAAATGGCGGGATATAATGCCATCCCCTGACATATACCTTGTTAAGGATCTTTGTGTCTACCGGTGAGTATACATGTGCACCTTGTCTCAGACAGTTCATATACCCTTATATATACAATTAATACGTGGCAACTACACTTCACAACCTCAGCGATTTTAGTATACTTTCTTGGTTTGACTGTCACTGATATTGTACATATAATTTAGACATATAATTGTAATTCAACTGTTGTTCATAATTTTGTTCATCCAAATTAAGGTTTTAATAAGGAGTGTTTTCTAAGTTTATGCCCTGTTTTCTTTTCTTTTATCAATATGCCAGTGCACAGGCAGTGCGCTTGTTGTAAAGCACAATATAAAGTAAGGCTCTGTTGTCTGAATAAAACAGACATTCTGTCTTACTTGAAAGCAAATATTAATGATGCCTTAAGGTTTGGTGACCCCGTATGTAAAAAATGCAGGGGAAGATACTACAATCACCATTCATCTACTGAACATCCTAGTAGCGATGTAGAGCACCAGCTTGAGTCACCTGAAAACAAAAAAATCAAACTTGACATTCCACGGGCTACATTAGGTGAATCTCGATGTTTCATTTGTAAAATGTTAAGAGAGGAATGTAAAAGTAAAATGGTAATGCTCTCAACAGAAATGAGAGTAAAGATTTTTATTAAGACAGGTATCCTTGTCCCAAACACCTGCAGATGTTGTTCTTCCCACATAGTGAATGGTGATTTCCCATCTGATAGTCTATCTTCACTCGCATATTCCAGCAAAGACACTGAACTGGATTCTTCTGAAATATCAGAGATCCTTTTGACACTTAGGGCAGCTGCTTCAAAGAAAAGTTGTTTAGACTTTGATTCCTCAGATGGATTAACTGATCAAGATTACTACCGTCTCACAGGTCTGTATAAAAATCAATTTTCTGACCTTTTACGATCAGTTAATCCCTCTCTTTACTCTACACTGAACAGAAGCGCAAGGACTGCATTAGCCATCCTGCTTGTAAAGTTGAGGACTAGCATGTCTTTATCAATATTAGCTTCTCTGTTCAACATGACAAAGAGAATATGTGGAAAATGTATTCATTCAGCTCGCCAAGCATTGATGACCCACTTCGTTCCTTCACACCTTGGCCTGCAACACATCACTAG